GAGGCTCAGCGGCAGCGGCACCATCAAGAGCAGCAGCAGTTGCATGCCCAGGAGCTAGAGCGGCGGAGGAGAATTCAAGAGGCACAGCACTTGGAGGAGCAGCGGCAGTTTGAGATTCGTCGTCAGCATGAAATTGAGCACGAAAGAAGACAGCGAGCAGCAGCCTTTGGCTCCTTTGACCGTCAACGCGCAGAACAGCAACTCGCATTCGAACAGGCTCAGGAGGAGCGCCTTCGCGAGGAAGAGCATCACAAACGGGCTTTGGAACAGCAGCGCCAGCGTGAAAACTATCAGCGAGATGTAGAACGGGCAAGGCTTTTGGATTTGGAAAGGGCGAGGGTTGTAGAGGAACGCCAGCGCGAATTCCAACGCCAGCAGCAAGAGGCTGAACAGCTCGAACGTCTTCATGCCGAACGACGGCGGGAACTCGAACGGCACAGGGAGGAAGGCGAGCGAATTCGCGAAGTCGAACGAATCGCTAGACAGCAGGAAGCTCTACGTATACACGAAATGCAGCAGCGCCAACGTAATATCGAAGCTCAACACCGTCTTCATGAACCCATCACCACCTCCCCCCACCCACCCTCGATTTCACATCTCATCTCCCACCCGCCCCACCGCAAGCCCGATTCCAACCAGATCAAGCTCTTGACCAGTCCGATCTCCCCTGATCATCCTTCCATGCCTCAATACCACCACGAAGATTCCCGCCCAATCAAGAAACGTCGGTATTCGGAGTCACCCACTCGGCCAATACCGGACGACCGCGAACGGATTGCACGGGAACGAGAGAAGATGGTCGTCGGAGAGCTGGGCTATGGTCGTATCGATTCTCCTGTTGCGGGCCCTTCCACAGCACCACGGAGGCCAGGGTCGGGGCATGGTCATGGTCGGAAGTCGGTCGCAGTGTCGGAGCTGTTGGTGGACAAAGAGCGGCCTACCACTGCGTCAAGATCAGACTCGCGCGATCGCGTCGTCAGTCCTCTTGGCCGGAGGTCGCCCCCAGGCAGTCAGATTGGCAGAGCCAAGGCGGCACGCAAGTCGGATGAACATATCCCCCGGGAAATCCAACTGCCTCCTCCGCGAGACCCACTCCCATCAGAACTGGAAATCAAGAAGGTCAAAGAGGAGCCAAAGCTCAAAGAAGATTCAAAGCCTCCTCGTCATCGCACCAACTCGGACGAGGAGGTTCGACCAAGGAAAATCACGAAAGATCCTATATCAACACCTGCGCCACCACCACCCCCGCCGCTGCCACCGCTGTCCACTACTAGAATACAGTCTCCTTCCAAACCGGAGCACGACGATGCACACGAGTTTTTTCTTCAGTCATTCGAAGAGGATCCTTCTCCCACAATATCATGTCGCCCAGAACCTCCTCGTTCGCCTTCGCCTTCTGCCAGTCCTGTTACCTCATTTCTCCCCGTACCCACAGCGCAATCTGTCAAAAGTCCTCCTCCCCCACCCAGGGTCCTTACCCCTATCACAGCCGCTGTCGCACTGGAACAGGAGCTTGAAGACCTGGTTTCGAAACCCACCACTATCACCACTACCGCCATCACTACCGTAAAAAAGCAACCTGACATGGACATGGATCTGGACGTCGACCTCGCAGTAACCGAACTTGTCGCCGAAACCTTGGAAGGGGATGATGTGAAACAAGATCTTGTTGGCATGGAGGTGGATGTAGAGGATGAACTGCTTAGCCTAGTCGATGATCGTCCGCCACCCGCGTCGATCAACATGTCCCGACGTGCCTCGGGGCCTTCCTCCGCTTCAGGTTCGTCGTCGTCCCACGGCTCTGCCGCTATTACTACCGCGACTGTTGCGAAACAACCCCCACCTCCGCTCCGATCCATCGTGGATGCTCGCCACACCTCTCCGACAATCTCCGCTTCGTCTTCGGCTACGCTCGTCTCGCCTGCTGTGCGTCATCCGTCGACGCGGCCTGCTTCTGAACGAGGCTCGATGCCGCCACCTGCGACAACGAACATGGGTTCTGGAGCGAAGAAGATTGTTGAGCGTGCTGGCAGTGTGGTGCCTGCGAAGAAGAAAAAGGAGATAGCGACCAAGGTATGTGTTACTCCTAGTCTCAAGCATTCAACTCAGTTCTCCATCTAGGTTGGGACGAAGGCTAAGGCTACTGCTGGTGCCACTTCCGCTGGTAGTTCTACTGCGCCGCCACCGAAACCTCGCGCGAAACCTGCAGCGAAAGGGAAGAAAGCTGCCGCGGAAATTGCAACCCCCGCATCCGCCGTTGCTCCGGTGCCCCAACCATCCACTTCAAAACCGTCCAAAGCTCCAACGGGCAGGAAGACTGCACCGTCTACCTCTCGCTCAAGGTCGACGTCGCTCATGCCCGGTGCTGTGTCTGGTCCACCCGAGAGCGACGCCGTTAAGGCAGAGAAACAGGAAGAAGAGGAAGATTCGGACGCGGCTAATGAAGATGATAAGCTCTATTGCGTGTGCAAGACAAAGTATGATGAGGATCGATTCATGATTGCTTGTGATAAGTGAGTGATTAATGAGCTCTGATATATAATGCTTATCTCTATTTTAGGTGTGATGAATGGTATCACACGCAGTGTGTTGATATGCCGGACCAGGAGGTTGACCTTGTTGATCAATTTATTTGCCCGCCGTGCATCGACAGTGTGTATCCGTTGTTTGATGAACAAGACATTGTGCTCATATATCGTATAGAAAACCCCAAACTCAATCTCCGAACCACATACAAACAACGGTGCCTCTTTGGTCTTCGCCATCCTGATCCTCAATCCTCCAGAGCCTGCCACAAAGCTGCGCGTGGGGCTTTCTCAAAGTATTGCTCAGATGAATGCGGCGTCAAATATATGCAGTCGCGCATCGATTCTTGGGCCAAGAAAGGAGGCAAGCCAGACAAGCTCTGGGAAAGCGTAAAGAATGCAGAAAAGAGGGAAGGGGTTGTGGTATGTGCGATCGAGCCGCCTCAGGTCAACGGGTGCACCGTTGGTATCGACGTCGACGAACTGAAGATGGACGTCGATGGTGGCGTCAAGAAGGAGGCGGATGTCAAGCCCTTCAAGCACCGTATCGTGCCGCCTACACAGACGAAAGTCGAAAGAGAAACAGAGAGATTGACCGGCTTGCTCGATGCAGTGATGAAGCTGAGGGAGGAAATTAAGAGAGGTATGGAGGTAGTCGTGTGGCGAGAGCAGTTGCTGCAGCTTGCGAGTGAGAGGGCGGAGGAGCTCGACCAGTGCGGTTGGGATCAACGGCTCTGCTTTGATGATGAGGAGTGGGCAGATATTGGTGCTGGGGTTTTGGAGAGCTACGAAGACCTGAAGACGGAGCTTGCGAAGGAGGAAGGGGATGGGGAGATGGAGGTAGATGCTGCTGAGGAGCAGTGGTGGTGCCCTGGAAAGAAAGTGTGTGATCGTCATGCTGGGTATGTTTCTCTCTTCTTTGGTCATTGAAATGAATAATCAAACGATTTTTCTAGCTGGCAAACTGTCCGGTACAAAGATGTCTGCAAGGAGAAAGAGAAAAAAGAAGAGGCCCTCGCCAAACTCACCACACGCGAACGCGAGATTCGGAAACGCATAGAAGATATGCTAGATCCTCAAAGTCGCACGGCCAGCGAGACCACGACCTCTGTCGCCCCCCTCAAATCCTCCAACGCCAAACTCGTCAATGGGCATCCGAAAACGAAAGCAACGACCGCAGAATCCTTGAAAAAGGGAAAGAAACGTAAAGCGCCTACTTCTTGATCGCATTTTCTGTCACGACGACCACGACGACGATTGCCACGATAGACATGTATTTCTATAAGTATGCACCAGTTGCACGATATCGTAACGGCCCATATTTCGTCTTTTATTCTTCCATTGGCCGTCCTCTTCCTATTGATTGTGTCACCTTGTTTTTTGGACTTTTGCTCTTCACACACCGTGTCGTGTTCTCTCTCGCATCTTGCTGTCGTCGTCCCATCCCATCCCATCTTTCCCTATTGCACTTGGTGTATAATTGTGCATTTGTGTAGCTTACTTATCTTCGTTCAGCTTTCCCGCAATCGAAAACTTGTGTATAGATGATATTACAAACAGCCCGGCATTAGGTTAGGAATCGTCTCCCCTAAGATGGCGCAAAGCACGACGACCGAATACACACTCCTCTTATAATCTAGGATCCACTCTAACCCAGTGAACACATCTGGTTGGTACTGACTAGTAGCCATCGCCTTCACCGCCCTCTTTGCAGAAACCTTTCTGCTCGTACAAGATCTGTGCCTTCACCTCCTCGCGTTCCTTCTTTTCTTCAGCGTCTCGTTTATGGTACGCGAGAAGTATGTGGTAGTCGACTTGTTTCAGAGGAACTTCGTCTTCTCGATCCAAATCCTGAAGGGGACGGTAAGGCAATGACGGAGAATGCAGAATGAAGTCCAACAACGCACAATTTCTCCGAGTAGCACTACGTTTTCCCCGCGAATTAGGAAGAGACCGTGCCAGCTTTCTGCAAAGGCGTTTTCGTGGTATATTCGCTCGACAGTGTCTTCAAGGACAAGGTTAGCTGCAAGGGTGGTTCGGGGTTCAGCGCTTGGCCACAAATGACAATAAGAGTATTTGTGCGCACCGAATTGGTCATAGGAGCGTAGGACACCGTGAAGTTTTCTGCCATCGCGTAATATTACTAGCATCTTTCCTAGGCAGATGCAGGATATGCCGAGGGAAGCAAAAAAGGAGGGATCAAAGTGCACCAGGAAAGAGAAAGGGTAGATAGGTGCGCTCAGGATTGAACTGCAGGAGTGTGATGAGATTGGGTCGACGTACTGTCCACACAATCCACCAGGGAGCCCGACGTTGTGAAAGGGATTAAAGAGTCCATGGTGGAGAAAGAACGCGGGGCTGCTCTAGGCAGCGAGCAAGAGGGAGTGCAAGATCAAACAAGGAACCAAGGAACGAAGGGCGGTCAGTTGAGAAGTCTACGTGAATCTGGCACTTTGATGCCGCTAATTTTCATCAGCTGGAATGGCCGAGTCGTTAAGGCGAGTGATTTGAACTTTCAAACTCATCACTTGGTGTTTCACCGCGTAGGTTCAAATCCTGCTTCCAGCGAATCTTTTGCACTTTTTGCTTTCGGTTCTGTTTAAACGTAACATTGGGCACTTATCAAGGTTCGATTCGTTTACTCAATTGTTCGTACGGAGCAATAAATCTATTCATTGGCAATGGCAATGTCATGATGAAGTAGTCTGCCCAGCATATTCCCATTGTCCCGCCTCTGGTTTCTCTTCCAACGGTTCCCATCTGTATACACATCATGAGCACCAAATTGTTAGTATCTAAAGACTTGACATACGCTTTCCATTCGACCATTTTAGCAGCAAGTGATAATTCGTCTGCAGCAATGTCCAGCGCCTCCTCAATCTGGCCCTCGTTCAGCTGTTTCTCCACCGCGCCAATGTCCCCGCTCGCGTTTTGCACGATGTTTAGTTTACTCCGTACTAGAGCCTCGACGCCTTGTCGATAGACGGATGATTGCGGAATGGGGGAGAGTGTGGAGAGTGTTGATTCGTATGTCTTTATGAGTTCGGGGAGAGGGTTGGGATGGACGGGAAGACCGAAGACGCCTGTTGTCCGTTTGAGTACCTGGCTCAGAGGGCGAGTAACACGAAGCATGGCAGAGGTCGGCTACGAAGAATTTGAGGGAGAGTAAGTGGTCGCCGTCGCGGGTGGTGTGAGCACGGCGCGTCGGAGTATCAATTTTATTCTCGATCTCTCCTTCCTCTCCAACTATTTCTGCAACTACTTACCATGGCCGCCCTCGCCTTTCGACAATCGCGGAGCATACTGCCATCTCTCCAATTCTCTTTCTTTAGACAATGGAGTCCTTCAATTCTCGTTTCGTCAGCTTTGGCATTGCCCGGGACATCTTGGTCAATGCCGTCTCTGGAGTCATTGCTCGACCTATTTCCTCCCTTCCTCTTGGCTGTTCCCAAGTCGAAAACGTCACACTCGCGAAAAGCTATGAGGAGTGCAAACAAGGGTCTTAAAGACAAGCAAAGTACGCTGAATTTATCTTGACGGGGCACTTGCTAACCGCATCCCCCTAGATATCACCAATTGTCCAGGTTGCGGTGGTGTAAAACTGGCACATCATATATGCCCTCAATGTTATAGCTCAGTGACGCGCCAGTGGAAGGCAAACAACAAGCAGGGCACAGAAATCCCGGATATGTCATGATATCATGGCGTCCTTGGTTGGTTCTTACTCTATCATGGGTTTTCCAGAAAGTCCTGACGTCTCTCTAGAACTGTACAGGCAGTTCCTTTTCAGAATGGATGAATGGATAGGAGGGCGCGCCTTCCGATGATTTGGCTTTAACGGACACAGACCCCCCGCCAATAATCTGGCTACATCGGTACTGCTCGCATGGTCGTCAAATCATATCTCCTGGGAGCTCGACGTTTGCATCTCCTTAGTTACAATAGACGAGAGTGCATCTGTATAATATTCAAGTAATAATCAGAATCTCTACTGTTCGCGCCATGTCCATAACCGGATGTGGTCCGCGGCTTTCGCCATTCTCTTGGTCACCTTCCACTTCTCATGTGAACACCTGCACCGATGTATATATCCAGGGAAAACAACATTGTTCATCTATCATCCCTTCCCCATCCTTTCCTCCTTCCATTATCTCAATAGTCCTGAAATGCTGCGCGTTTCCTTGCCGTTCAAACGAGCTATATGCCCCGCATTGGCGCGAGCAGCCTCTTCCGGCGGGAGGCCATACGGATTGGCTGACATCCTTGAGAAGAAACCAGACGACGTGGTCATAACCTTCGCGAAGCGAACTGCCGTTGGGAGGGCGAAAAAGGGACAGTTGAAAGATACCCCGGTCGATGAACTCTTGTATGCACTGTTCAAGGTAGATTTCGTTGCGTCTCCATCATAGTTATACGCATTTCATGCAGACACCATAGGCTACTCTCGAGAAAACCAAGTTGGACCCTTCTAAAATTGATGACATTTGCGTTGGTACGTTCATTCCATAAATTTCCGGAAGGCCAAGAGTCGATCAAGAACATGTTTCTCCGTTCCAGCAACTTGCCATCCTCCTTCCCCGCTTTATATTTCGAGGGCAGCAGCGATTGCTGCGGGGATTCCTTATGAGGTGCCTATCTCTGTGGTGAACAGACTCTGCTCTTCTGGCTTGATGGCTATTCGCAACATTGCCCATACCATCCAGGCTGGAGAGGCTTCTATTGGAGTTGCAGTTGGCGTTGAAAGCATGAGTTTGAAGTCAGTCCGATTCTTGCCCCTCGTGTTTCGGGGGCCCAACTGACGATCGTTCGTTCGTTCGAATCAGTCCACGTCCAACGCCTGAAGTTGTCGAGGCAATCTCTGCGCACCCTCACGCACATGATTGTATGGAGGTATATCATATATTCTCATAGTAAAATAAGAAATCTCTCATATGGATGGACGTCTAGCCCATGGGGTGGACCTCAGAAATGGTCGCGCAAACCTACCAAGTCTCACGGAAAAAGCAAGACGAATATGCTTTCATCTCTCATTCCAGAGCCAGCAAAGTAAGTTATGTTGCATCACCAATCTGCTACACGAAGTTCATGGAGACGCTGGAATGTAGGCCGTAGCAGATGGCGTTTTTGCAGACGAAATCATCCCCATCGAACTTCGCGGGTCTGTCATCTCAGTCGATGATACCGTGCGGCCTGGCGTCACTCTGGAAGGCCTTGCAGCCTTGAAACCTGCCTTCCCAAAGTGGGGTGACGGGACAACAACGGCTGGAAATGCCAGCGGAGTTGGTGACGGTGCAGGAATATGTATACTGACTACGCGTGCGAGGGCTGAGAAGGAAGGTATGGAGATTCTCGGGAAATATGTCACCTCTACAGTTGTCGGTTAGTCTTTCGCAACAAGTTTGACAACGGCGGAAGCTGACTTGACCCGACTATAGGTGTTGAGCCCCGGTATATGGGAATTTCACCTATATTTGCTATTCCCAAGGTCCTTGCCCAGGTTGGCTTATCAAAGGAAGACGTTGATGTTTATGAGGTAGGCCATTACTCTTTCCTAGTGGAGGTTGGCTCGACAATGTCCACAGATAAACGAAGCTTTCGCGTCTCAATTTGCGCACTGCGTGGAGCAGCTTGAAGTCCCAATGAGCAAGATCAATCCGAAGTAGGTTGCCTTTAACTCTGCCCGAAAAGCTTGAGGGCCAATGTTGACCGGTCAACTCAGCGGTGGTGCCATTGCCATCTCTCATCCTCTGGCAATGAGTACGTTTTGCATCCCTTAGCTGCCCGAATTCTACTCATCAATCATCAGCTGGCGTTCGACAGGTTGTGACCGGTCTCGCGGAATTGAAACGAAAGAATGGCCAGATACTATGCACAAGCATGTGCATAGGGAGCGGTATGGGTGCAGCTGGTATATTCGTGAACGAGGCAACGCATTAAAGGCCGAGGACAACCCGTACACATACATGTCTTCTTCTAATTGGTTTCCAAAAGCCATGAAAGTATTGGCAAAACCATAACACGAGAAAATGAAGTACGCATAGACAGCAGATCATTGAGTTCCAAACAAATTGACATTGCGAAAGCGACATGGTAAAATAAACATTACAGAAGTGGCCACTATCAGTCCTGGAATGAAATCTGCAAATGAGGTAGGTCAGAAAATGGAATAGTTGACCTGACACGGTAGAAGATTCCTCAGAAAGTCATCAATGTCATTGAATCGCCATACAAGTATGGCGACGCAGATCGACTAAGAGGTGCCAAAGGTTGAATAGAATTACAACACTCGTCATAGAAGGGGAGAAGGGGTTTATATCGAAAGCGAAAGACTAACCTCGTAACTTGAGCTGCCAACGCGCGTGGATAACTGGACGCCATTGCCAGCAGGAGAGAGGCGAACGCGATGCACCAAAAATTAGACGCGCTTTTATATACTGTGCGAGCTATCACGTGCCCGGCAACAAGCGGGAGGAACTGGGTAGGTATCAAGCCACCCGATCAGATTTATTCAATCATATTACCGGCACCAGGCTCGACGCTCTCCCCAGCAACCTCAAGGTAGATCTCACTGTTGAATCGCTGTCTCCACTGTCCTGACCTTCTATAACCCCCAGATGTCCGCTCAAATCAGCAAAAAGAGAAAGTTTGTGGCCGACGGTGTTTTCCGTGCTGAGCTCAACGAGTTCTTCACCCGCGAGCTGGCTGAGGAGGGTTACTCTGGTTGCGATGTCCGTGTGACTCACGCTCGTACTGAGGTAGCTGAGACTTTGCTATTGATCTGCACTGCGTCCTCAGCCGCGTATCTAGATTATCATCCGTGCAACCCACACCCAAGAGGTTCTTGGAGAGAAGGGCCGCCGCATTCGTGAGCTCACTGCTCTTGTTCAAAAACGTTTCAAGTTCCCCGAAAACTCTCTGGAACTCTATGCCGAGAAGGTCGCAAACCGTGGTCTTTCTGCCATCGCTCAGTGCGAGAGTCTGAGGTACAAACTCCTCGGAGGTCTCGCCGTCCGTCGGTGCGTTCACACCTCTTTGCATCAAGTTAATCCCATTGATAAGGAATAAAGTGCCTGCTATGGTGTCCTACGCTTCGTCATGGAATCCGGTGCCAAGGGTTGTGAAGTTGTCGTTTCTGGCAAACTTCGTGCTGCTCGTGCCAAGTCCATGAAGTTCACCGACGGTTTCATGATTCACTCTGGCCAACCTGCCCGTGATTTCGTTGACTATGCCGTGCGTCACGTTCTGTTGCGCCAGGGTGTCCTCGGAATCAAGGTCAAAATGTACGCAACAAATTCGGCGAACTGCCATCGTTCCAGTTACTGACGTGATAATTCTTTCTTTTCATCAGCATGAAAGGATGGGATCCTGAAGGTCTCCTCGGTCCCCGCAAACCCCTGCCCGATTCCGTCCAAATTATGGAACCCCCTGTCGACAAAATCGTTTCCGAGCCATCGTCAGAGCAACGCGAGCCTGCCGTCCCTGTTCCTGCTGCTGCCCCTGCTGAGGAAACATACGCTCCTCAAGAGGCTACATATCAACAGCCGGAGGCATACGCCGAGCAACCTGTA